CGATAACTCGAACCTTTTACTGTTTCCCCTCAAGGTTCGAGTTATCGGGGGTCGACTGTACAAGTTACTAGATTTCTTGGTCTTCTCCCTTGGCTTAATTAAGTCTTGGGTTGAACTCAACGCGGCCAGATTCGAAGTATTATCATAAAATATCAATTTCATCTTCCTACAGGTCAGTATTTTCAGGTTGTTACCTCATATTATGGCGAAAAATATGCTTCCTCTTGACGTGCTCGTGTTTGGAATCATGGATCTTATTGTGATGTTGTTTGTACATGTGGTACATCTCGTCTACTAAGTCCTCGCCATAAGACATAAACTCACCCATAGGATTTGATACAAAGTGCGAGTCCAAGCTGTGAGACCAGTTGTAACACCACTGATCTGGTACAAGATAATGCAATCGGATCTTAAAATTTAAAGATTTTCATCTGTCCCAGTTACAGGGATAGCGTGTAGGTGAAGACGAAGAGACTTAGATTATTGTTTATGCCAGTCCATCTATGGGTAACACTTCCTCTCTCCGCCCCTGTCATTTATTTGTTGGTACCCATGCACACTTCTCTACATACCCTTTACATAAATGGTGCCTAAATTTGAATAACAATACTTTATACATCCTTAGCCTCGTACTCATGTTTCCAGACAAAGGATTTTTCACATGAATGTGAGGCTAAGGATTAGAAGACCCAGACTCCAGCTATGGTAATTTTTTGGCCCGAGTTTAAAAATTGAAACGGACTGAAAAGAAAGCTAAAGCAAAAGCTAGAGAAAATGGAAACGCTCTCTGAGTCTCACCAAAGACAAACTAACTAGCAAAAAATTCGTTATCAACTCACCTTTTGGTAATTCAAATTTTTCTAGGTCCGGTTTCCATTCTTCAAATGAGATATATTCCAGCACATAGTTATCGTAATACGAAGCCATAAGACTGTCATATCCTTTCATTTCATATCGCACGGGACGGACTGGGTCTAGCTTGCTGACCAACAGGGTGTGAGTGTTTAGTAAACCGAATGCAAGATAGCGGTATTCCCATTTTGTAGCAGGCGTGCCCATGTAGACTTCCTCACCTGCGTACTGAGGGAAATGGAAACCAATTAGTAAATGACTCTCTGGACGGCTCAGTATGGTGAAGTTAAGAAGAGATATCTAGAATAATATGCATGGTATCATACCGAGAACAGAGCCAAAGCCTCAGTTTCCAACCAGGGTTGTTTGGATTGGAAATTGAGCGTGGCATAGCTATCGCTGGTTAAGAATCAGAAATTGATTCATAGTGTGTTATTACATGAAGCATCTAACCTTAAAGTATGTCATGTTAGGTACTATTGGTTGAGGAATAATGGGCCATCCTTTATGTCCCTCGAGGTTCCAGCAACCGATGTAGTTACCGTCCTTCTCTGTGTACATTGGTACAACCTTGAATGTCACTCCGTATTTGCCGAGGTCTGCTCTTTGGTATGTCTTGTCTGTGCCTAGAAACAACAAGACAAACTATAAATGATTGTACATTGCCCATTAGTTATATAAATCTTAAAGCCATGCGCAAACGAACTCGCAAGTAGACGCAAGTTGCATAAAAACTTGTGTCTACTTGCGAGTCCGTTTGGCTAGGCCTCCCGTGCACGTGCGTTGGATGACTTGCGCTCACTTTGGTGGAGTTAACAAATCGAATGTTGTTTAGCGTTGCCTGTACTCTTATCGACAACGATATACGTCATCACAGTGGT